CATCGGGACGTCGACGCCCACGCTGAGATTTCTCCTCAGCGAAAGAGCGATCGTTTTCGCGGCGAAAATCGTTCTGGACGTGTAAATACGAGAGAAATCCAAATTCTATAAATTTTATCGATTTTAAACCGTGATGATTAAATTTATGGATCTTTTTATTCTTTTCGACCCTTCGATATGTATATATCGTTTTATACGTAACGTAAGAGTTTGATGATTCTGTTTCTTTTCTTTTTTTTTTTTTTTTTTTAATTTGTGAATATGTGATAGAAAGGAATAGTATTCGAATGTATTCTTTTCATATTTTTTTTTAGAATTTTTGATGAGTAAAAGAGTTGAGATTCGGATTTGTGATGGTTTGTGAAATAGTGAAGTGATTCTTAGATTGAAATTTTATGAATCGTGTATATATAAATAAAAAAAATTGAAAAAGAAATAGTATTTAATTTTTTTTTTTCAACGAACGATCCAATAGTTATTCCTTTGCTTTAAGCTTTTAAGCTTTTATTGTTTTTTTAATTCTATACGGTTTGGTTTCTTTCTAGATTGAAAATAATTCGAGTGAATTGTTGGAAATTGTTGAATCGTGAGTTTTGATATTTCATTGGTTTTGAAAAATATATTTATAAACGAAAAAAAATTCGGGAATTATTGGAAATTTATCCCATGCCTTTTCATATTTGTATGCTTTGAAAGTTTTGGTTTTTTCAATTGAATGGCGTTCGGAGAGAAAATATTGGAATTTTGTTCCCCAACTTTAAGCTTAATTCTTTTTTCTATTTTTTTTCTTCCACAAATTCGCCTTTTTTTTGCCATTAACAATTATTTATTGGATATTTTTAACTACTGATATTTTAACAAATCTTATTATCTCGGTTATGGATCACATTCATACAAGATTGGAACAATGCTTATTGTGCAACACGATGCAAATTACTCGAATAGAATAAATTGTAAGGATTATAGTTCAACATTGTCGGGCCATTCATCATTGATGAATTATTAATGAAAGAAGAAAATTACTAGTAATGTTAGATAGAATGGAAAAGACAACTTTTCTTGAGTGTACATTCAATGTTACATAAGAATGTTACGTGTTCAACAAATTACAAATTTTGTATCTTCATCGATTGACTGAAAAATAATGCAACATAATTTGGAAACAAAAGATCACTAAGCAAAAGCTATCACTAAGCATTGAAGTTTTTATCACATATCCAACTAGTATGCCAAATAACTATAAATAATAATCAAACACGTTATAAATTCCTTATAAAGAAATCCATTATTAATAACTAAACTCGCCCCTAGTGCACCCTAGAATTCCATCTTTACATCTCTAGAATGCACCAATAACTCAATAAACAAAGATGATATTTCTTTTTCTCCCCTTTAATTAAATTTCACTTTCTGTTACATAAAGATAATCCCATATTAAATTTCTAATTAATTTTTTAATTCATGACTATCACACTGCATCTAATGATAAAAAACATAATTAAACTGCTTTCATAAAATGAAATATTTTTTTTATAGAATGGCGTATAAAAAAGAAAAGGATAAAACAGAGGTGGTAAAACGACGATACAAGGCTTTGTCGATTGTCTTCCTCCTTGTTTTCGACTCGCGAGTTGTTAGCAGGGCAGACGGTCGAATTAAGCTTGGTTTTCACAGCGGCCACGGGCCAAGATTGAATTGCCACCCTTTGGCTTTCGTCGCGGAGTGCTTTCGAAAATTAAGCGACATTGTGCCTTAACGAATGGGGATTCAAGCCTACATCTGGTCGAAAAAAAAAAAGAAAAAAAAAAGAAAAAAAATACGCGGGAACATCCAAGGGGCAAGAAGGACCGGAAGTGGAGGACTGGGGGGAAAAAGTTTTATCGAGCGAGTGGTTTCGGTGACGAGGAAAATTTTTACTTCCTTTGAGAAGAAGTATTAGTGAAATGTAACCTTTTCTTTACAAGGTGTTACATAGATATAACCGTCTCTTAAAAAATTATAATTTCTTACAATTATTCTTTAACTTCAAAGAATAACTTCACTCAAAAGAGTGAATCAATTTTCAAGATTTTAATTTTCAAAAAACGTGATTGACAAAAAACTAACTAAAAAAGATATCTTTAATTAAAAATACACAATTATATCAACTCATAAAAAAAGTTAAATTATATAATTTAACTATGAAGTCATTTTATCGTGTTTATACTTTTATATTTTTAGACAATATAACATAAGAGACTGAAATATCAAAAAAAAAAAAAAAAAAAAAAAA